CTTTTCCAACACTCAGAATCCTGTGGTAGTGGATGTTCTCAAAATTCATATAAACTTAAAATTCGAGGATATGAAATCCTGTACTGCTGGGTTCCCCGGGCATACGGGAATAAAAGGAATGAGCTTGCAGATATCGCAGCAAATCTGCTGTTGAACTGTCCAGTCGCCTTATCCCTTTTAGAGACATCTGCTGTGTCATCAAGGGAAAGATCCGAAAAAAATGGCAGCAAATTTGGGATGTTCAGCTTCAAACAAGTTGAGAAATGTAAAGCCTAGAATTGAGCATTGGGATTTTGCTGGAAATCGTAAGGAGGAAGTTCTTTTGACTCGCCTCAGAATTGGTCATACAGAGTGACATAACTACCTTTTAAAGCTGAAAATGAGCCTGTTTGTTTCAAATTGTAATGTTTGTTTATCTGTTCATCATATTTTAATTGAGTGTCCATTTTAATAGTCTTCGTCAGAAATATTTTAATAGCTGTGACTTACCTCTCGACCGTTTAATCGGAAGAGAGGTCAATTGTAATTTATTTTATTATTTAAAAGAGACTGGCTTTTTACTAATGTAATTTGTTTTGAAGATGTGTCTTGAATTTTAATGTGTGCTTTTACCTTGTTTTTATATGACTTCATCCTTTGGATTTGGTACATTTGTCCACTTGTTTTTATTTATTGTATTTGAATTTCATCACTTGTTATCATCCCATCCTGTGTTTGACACATTTTAATCATCTTTGGTTTTGCGCCAATAAACTCTCACTCACTCACTCACTCAATTGTATCTTAATTTTTCAGTTCTCATTGCTGTTTTTGTCGACAAAAAGTATTATGCTTGTTTTCACTTTGTTCAATTAATTGCTTTCGGTAAAATGGTTTTAGCTGTATTTTTGCAAAAATTATTTTGCTTATTATGTTTTGGAGGCTCACCAGCGGCCAATTGGTAAAGATGCTGAACACTGGTAGTTCGGTGCGAGGTTCGAATCCCTCGAACGCGGCCGCATGGTGTTTTCGGTTTTCCTTATAACGTGTATATGAGCCAATTTCCCTTAGAAGTCCTCCACGAAGGCATCCCTCCTCATAGGCAAACAGCCCTTGAGGCTTTGCCGTAATTAAATAACCTTAGTATGATTTGTGTGCAGTCACCCTTGGAACTACTAGAGATTTATTCAAAATCTAGGTTATATTTGTGTTTAGTCTTAAAGTACACATTGGCATGTTTCTCCTCCAAACAAAAAGAGTTAGGTTGATTTTGAATAAATTATGATATCTGGTAAGTGCAAATTTGGTAATGAGTCAGTGTGGGATATTGATGAAACTGAGCTGTAAAGTCTGCTGTGAATTCTCATCTTTTCTGAATCTCAGTATTAAGGAGACATAAAACCAAATCAAAAAACTACGTAGGTCTTAAAAATTGACAGATCAGGATTGGTGAAACCTTAAGTGTTTTGTTAAATGAGTGAATCTTAAAACTTTTATGTTTTTAAAATGATCTTTCATCTTGATTTAAAATCAGAGATCATTATTTGATATGTATGCAATGAAATAGCTGTACCCCTCTCTTTTTCTCAATCTTTTTTTTTTTTTTTTTTGTGTGTGTGTATTGTTTTAAAATTTTAATCCATATGTCTTGGAAATGCATATAAATGCAGTTTCAAGATAATATATATTCTCAAGGTATTTTGTACAGTGCATTCTGCATGATGACAGAAAGTATCATAATTTCTGGTACATAAGCTGCCCTGGCATATATGCCGCACAGATGATGATTGACTAAAAAAAATTGAAGTTCATCATTGACTAAAAAAAATTGAAGTTCATCGAATAAGCTGCACTGCTATATACACTGCAGCAAAGCATTCCAAAACGGGGCATTTAATTTTCATTTAATCAGTAATTCTTTTCCATATTGATGTAATCATCATTTTTTACATTTAACCCTCTAAGCGGCAAGGCCGTATATATACGGCCTAGAATATTTATTGTGATATCTGTAAGAACGTATATATATACATGCATATTAAAATATGTCAACGATTTTAAGGCAATATATCAAAAGAAAATAAATCCAGGTATGAAATACCAGTAGAGTTTTTACATTAAAATCAAAAAAATAATTTGTTCTCATTGTAGTTTTGGGAAATTTGTGCTTTCTTAGCGAAAACCCTGGCCGCCCAGAGGGTTAAAACATAACTATAAAAAGTAATATATAAATAAATAAAAAATAAAAATCTCACCTTGAACTTGCCAAAAGCGAACTCTGCTGATTTTCAGTAGATATTATTTTTACAGGTTGGGTAAACTTTGCTTATCACCATAAATTACCATATTATGAAAAGTGAATATGTAAATTAGATAATCATTATTAATTAAAATAAACTGCATTTATTTATACAAAAACCTTCAAAATCTGACTCGTCAGTGTCGCAATTAAATAAACTTTAACAAATCATCACCAAGGTCGCTTTCATCACTTTTCCCATCATCACTATCGTCATTTTCATTTTCTTTAAGCTGATACAATCATAGCAGCTCACACTAATTGACATGCTATATTGACCCACAAAGCAACCTTTACGAACTCGTACGAAGCTTTTCTCATCCGTCCAGAATTTGTGAAGGAATGAAGTTTGCTTCTCATTCATTACTCTCACTGCTTAAAAATTCTGTTGATGGTGAGATCCAGTGGCTGTAGAATTTTTGTAAGCCTATCTGGTATCACTAATATATTGGTGCTAAATGTTTTTGCTTTGGATTTTTTAATATACACTAAATGCGACTATGTTGAATCCAGAGTGATGAATTTCCGAGGTTGGAAAAAAAAAAGCATCTATCCTTTTGATAAATTTATATCAGCCAAAGCAACCACTTCTTCATCCATCCATCCTTCTTCATTGGCACAAATAAGGACTCCTTTAGAGAAATTTCTTCGGGAACTATTTTTCTTTTGAAAATGGTCAGAGATTATAATTTCGCTCCATTCGTGGCACAACCCAAAACACAGTAAAAGAAGTCTTTTCACTCTTGGTTGTTAACACAGAAATAATTTTTTCAGCTGTTGGATGAAGAGTTTCTTCGGATGATAATTAAAAATAATGGGCACTTCATCCATATTAATTATTTGTTCGCTATTCAAATTTTGTTCTGTGATTTTCTTAGATGTGTACTCCAAAAAAGCTATCTTTTTTTCAAGGCAGTCCACGGGAAGCTTTTGTCCAAATATTGTTTTTGTCCTGATGGATACCTTCGTTTCATATCTGAAACACCGGTTAGGTCCACTAACAAAGTTTTTGATGCTCATTTGTTGAGCAATTACTTTTGTTTGAAGGCAAATTCTAACTGTTGATACTGATAATTCCTTTTCTCTCTGTTGTGTTGTCCTTTTTTCTAAATTGTCTTCCAAGACAGCCTAGGCTATGATGCCAGTCCAACAAGATCTTTTATTCTTAGGCACTTTCACTAACTCTTCTTGTTGGGACTACCACTGCTGAATCCATCTTTCGTTATCTTGAAATTCTCTAGCTGCAGCAGTTTCCAATTTCTATCACTTTCTTCACTGCAGAAAGTTTAAAAACAGGTGAATAACTTTTACTTTGAGTAGGGAGTTTCACGCAAGTTTAAATTTGTTCCAGTGCCTTAGCTGAGCCACCTGAGTGCTTGTAACAGGATAAAATGTCACACTAAATTCTGTATTAACCATTACATTTATGCTTAACTTGTGATATAATCTAGAAGGTTTAAATATAGAAGGAAAATAAAATTCCTTCAGATACGCCACCCTGGTAGACATGCTGCAGACCTAAATTTTCAATTTTTAAAAATATATAAGCTACAGCCTATCTACCCATTTATTATGGTAGTCCTTTTGCTTGAGTATAACAGTACACTGGCTCAAAAGGCAAGGTTTTATGTGTGTAATTTAGACCACAAAATTAATTGGTTAACTATAGATTGGTAACTAAAACATATAGGATGACCACAGTGTCTCTCATATGCTACACATACTCAATTAGCAATCAGCTTTTCACCAGATAAGAGGAGAAAATAGGAAAAAATTTCTTAAAAAAATTATATAATTTAACCTTTTCACATGGGCTATAGAGACTAATTGTTTTATGCATTGAAGTTATTTTGTCAAAAGCCAGGAACAGAAAAGCGAATCGGCAGGGTCTGTTATTTCCTGCTCTGCATTAAGTAGCAAATTTTAAATTTCCTCTATAAACTAAATGTTTTTAGCCTTATTTAATAGAGTGAATGCATGGGACATTAATGTCCCCATCACCTAGGAAAATTTTAGTGGTAAGCATATTGCAGGTGTTCTCGCCCAGGGGGAATTTTATAGCTTCACGTGGGAATGCAGCTAGCTATTTATTTAGCTATTAAGTATTTAGCTTTAATTTTTAGATATAAAAAACTAGTTTTCTTCAGGTTTTGGTATTTATCAACATTTTCTATATTTTTCCCCCCTTTAATTTATAAAACACACTACAAAATGTAAATAAATGCATATATGCATTTTTTTGAGTTTTGGTATAGAGGAGTAATCTTCAAGCAATGGTGAAAAAGATATATGGAGCAAAACACATTGAGCACCACTGACTTTAGCTGAAATGTGCTTGTCTTTACTCAATACTGTTATAGTTTTAGGAAATTAAACAATGGGTATTTGGTAACACATCGTTACATATTGCGTTTTAAACAGCCACATAGCCACAATTATCTTTCCAGTAGTTTATGTTTGAGAGAAATTTAATTACCAGTGACATCAGTACCAACATCAGTACCAGTAATTTAGTTCAAAGGAAAAATAATAGCCATGCTTATGATCTGGTGTGTTATAAATAACACTTGTAAACACATCTGGTGTGTAATACAAATTTTGTGAGATTTTTAATGCTTAATTTTTAAATTAAATATATGTAATAAGTAATTTTACTATGCATTTTATTATGTGTATGTAATAATGGATGTGGTTATTTAAATAATCATTTTTCTCATTACAGGACATTCGAAACACAGTGGGAAACATTCCAATGCAGTGGTATGATGATTTTCCTCACATTGGTTATGATGTTGAAGGGAAGAAAATAATGAAGCCAGCAACTAATGATGAAATTGATGAATTCTTGAGCAAAATTGATGATCCTAATTACTGGTATTTACAATTAATTATTTTGATTTACTTTTATACAAATAGATAATTAACTGCTTGTTGTTCCACGTTTATTAAGATAGTTCATTGCAATGTTTATGCTAGGTGGTATGAATTGTGTTACAATTATTCTCAAGGATCTAATACCAATAACTTCATAAAAAGTGTTGTTGTACCAGTTTTGTCAGTTTTATTATATAAACTATAAAATTTTGGAGCAGATTATTTTAACCTGTAATGCATATACTCTCTGTTATAAATAATAATGGAAAACTGAAAATTCTGGAAAGAATTAACTTTGCTCAATTTCATTCAAAGATTTTTAAATAAATTTGATTTCATGTATTACAAGGGAGAGGTTTTAATTTTGGCACTTTAATAATATGTGCCTACTTTCACAGTAGCTTGTATAACATTTCACTGTTGACCTTGCAGCATGCAAAAGGAGTAAAGCTTTATTTTATTTATTTATTTTGTGGTCAGAAGGTATGAAACTATCTGAAAATGTAAGTAGTGATGTAGGAAAAAAGGTCATTCTTTTTACTTCCTTGTATCAAGTAAAGGGAGTATTGTAATCACGAAAATTTTCATTCAACGCAAATATCCATTTTGAACGCTATCGAATGCAATTTAGCGATGCTTTTGTATGACGTGTACGTAAGGACAGAATAAAGAACTCTTTCCCAAAACGGGTTGCAAAAAGGATTTAAAATGGATTTGGGAGAGATTTTTTCTTGATGTCTGTACGCACATATGTATGCATCAATAATATATACCCACTGTGTTGTTTGGCTCCAGGAGCTCAGTTTTTTTTTATTCTTATATGCTGGTAAATTGTTCATTTTTGCTTTAAAAATTATTGAAGTATGCTGTTATTATCTTCCGGTTAAGGTTTTTATGCCTTTGGTTTATCTGCATGCAATAGTTGTAGAATTATCAACATTTTAAAAGTTGCAGCTAAGCCTAAGTTTTTATCACAGCAGCCATATTTGTTTACATTTGAAACTTAACAAAATAGTTGAAGTTATCAAATAAAACTTTGAGTTTTTCTGTCTTCTATTTTTTTTTTTCAATAATCAGAGAAGATGATTAAAGTTTTGTTGATATTCTGCATTATGCACTTAAGTAAGGAATGGGAGGCTTAGTCTGACTCAGAAACAAGGAATGCGTTCTTTCGCAAATTCTGCCAAATACTGGCTATGGTGGTAAAGTTTATGCAGTATTGCTCTTTGTGAAGTAATTGATCCAGGCATTTACAGTTTTGTCAGATGTAGTGCTTCAGAATATGGTTTGATGGGAATTAAATTTATTTCATAGATAAATAAACCATAATGCTCCTAAACTCGTTTGCAGACATTTTCTTCCGATGCTTTATTAGCAAATGTTAACATTGCATTTTCATTGTACATTATCTTCCATGTACAGTTTCATTGTATGAGAATTAGAACACCTTTTTGGGGGGGGGGGCTAAAATGCCATAAGCATGAAAATAATGAATACAATCAAAAGTCTTTAATCCGGACTCATCGGGATTTCGGCGATTCCGGATTTTCTGGATTATAGATCGTTAGTTTAAATCTAATAAGATGGCATGCAGAAATTATAAAATTAAAAATGTAAAACCGTAATTTCTGAAATAAAGAGCAATTATGATCTAAAGGGTATCAAAATTTACAAAAAAAAAAAAAAAGCTTAATATTTTTTATTTGTTACTTTATTAAAACATTTCTTTCAATGCGCGCATGCGTAAAGCATACATACGCATCGTTGAAATTAGAAAATTCCAACCAGAAAACTATTTTGTTGTGTCTTCGTGATATTATAATGACGAGGAATTTGATTTAATCTGTCAAGAACCAACGAGATGTATACTGGGTAGAGAGGGTATGCAACACGGTTCCAACATTAGTGTTATGTTGACTGCTGCGTGAATTCCGAAAGTCCGGAAATACTTTACATTGCTTTCTATGGGATGAAAGACTGCTGCTCTGCTTGGTCACTTAAAATTTAAGTAAAAATGGTTATTTGCTGCAGCGCCTACGGAAGTAAAGAAAGTTTCGTGAAAGGAGGACTTGTAACCTTTAGTAAGGTAAGTTACTAACTTACCTAACCTTTAGTAAGGTAAGTTACTTGTAACCTTTAGTATAGGTAAGTTAAAACTGCATGATTTATTATTTTATTTTCAGTATTTTTGTCATTTTACTATCTTGTTGAATTGGTTGGAAAGTTTCAGCATATTGTATAAGAAAATTGCCGCCATATATGACTTTCAGCTTGTATTATTAGCATCAAAATGTTTAAATACTGACACTATTTACTGGAATCACCCTTTACAAATAATTGAATTTTATATGTTTTTTCCGTGTATTCTGTTGAAATAGAAAAGCTGGGCCAATTGGCATTAACCTTTTTCGCCAAGTCGTACGCATTTGATTTCATAAACAATTACTGGCTGCGATAAAAAAAGAAAAATGCTATTATTAGCATTAAATTATTGATAAAAGGTTGTGCAATTGTTTACTTTGTTAAAAAAAAAAAAAAAAAACTGAAGATCTTGATTCATGCACATTGAACATAAACAGTTAAACAGCATTATTTTAAAAATCAGATTACTTTTATAAAGCTCAATGCTTTATCATTATTTTCTATAAATCAATTAAAATAAAAATAATCTGGATTATAATTCTGTCTCTCTATGATGCTGTTAGAAATTAATCGTAATTGAAAAAATATATGTGAAAAACTTACCATATTTTAAATAGTATTAAAAAAAAAGGAGAGTGAGAGAATTTTTAACTGTAATATCGTTTTGATCCTAATAATAAGTATGAGTTGAAGTTTGTTACCGTTTGATACATATTCATATAAAATATTTGTTATATTAATAAGATGTATTGATCCCCGCCATGACATACACATGAGTGTGGAAATCAGTAATTAAGATTGCATTATTTTGTCCCAGTAATATAATCTCAAGAAAAGAGAGGCAATCAATGGCATATATACATATAATACAATGTGATTTTCTTTAGGATGCAATGCATTAAAATTAAACAAGATTTTTTTACCTTCTCAAATATTATAACAGCAGTGCAATTAATTTTTTAACGTTATTCAAAATTAAAGTTTCCATCTCAATTTTTTATTATTTATTTTAGATTTTCTTCCTAAAATTATTTAACCTAAACATCTTAAAACATGGTGCAAATAATTTAAAGGCGATTATTAAAAATATAGATAAATATTCAGGAAAAAAAAAAGGGTTAGTTATATCTAAATATAATTGTAAAAAATCGAACAACCTAATTCGAGGCCGTTGTCTGCTGACTGCTAGCAGACAGAAATAAAAAGCACTACCTGCCATATCAAAAGCGGGCCAAACTGACGATGAACAACCTAAGCTATCACTCCCCAAGAGCATTAGTCACGTGGTATATGTTGGAGACACCCTAGCAGACAAATTTTCTGTGGGTGAGCCATCTACCTGTTATATGAAGTCGTTGGTCAAAGACGGAGTACATCGAGATGAAATACTACATTTAGTACGGAATTATAAGACGAATAAATTAAAAACATCTTCCCTGAAGATAAGGATAGTGCTGACAAATCAACTTCACAATGAATGACAGTTCATTGCGTGCAGCGACGTCACCCCCCTCCCCCCATGCATGCGTAAGGGTATTATGTGTTTACGCATGCGCAGAAAGTTTGTAGCTTTGAGGTCCAGATTATAGATCATTCCGGATTATGGACGTCCGGGTTAAAGACTTGACTGTATAGGGTTTCTGCAGCACTGACATAAAAGCAGAGTAAGGAATAACAATTGTTAGCTGTGTATCAGAAATGGTTGTTAACATGTAAAAAAATTCTAAAAAATCTGCATTTTATAATCTATTTAGGTTTTGACATATAATTTAAATTTCATTTTTTTAATACGCAGCATATCCATAAAATCTAAAAATATATTAAGTAATAATAATTCTTAGTATATTCTTAATAGAATTAAGTAATTTTATTTTCACAACCATTGGTCGTGACATAATGTATGGTATTTTTATGTAAAAAATTAATTTTGTAAAAATTATGAAATATAACTAGTATTTTCTTATCATCTGTGCCCCCCACCGGAAAGCTGCAAAAAAGTATTGATGATGCAGCATACCTTGTTCCCAAAATGTATTTATGCAGCAACCCACGATGTTCTTAAAAATATTTATGTGATAACAGCCTCCAGACAGTTTTTTTCACATCTGGACATTTTCGCTAGTATGACTGCAAATTATAATCTGTGCTACGGAAATTTCAGTGTTTTAGTCAAGCAGTGACTGCATACTGCAGTTTTCGTCATCTTTATCAAAATTTTGGATTCTTTCTATCTGTTCACTTAGGAGGGATGAGTCACTCCCTTGTTTCACCCTTGTTCCGGTTCTGCATTCAAATAGCTTTCGCCGTATTCATATGCTATCATTAGCCTTTAAAATTTTAGGCAGTCACATTTGATATAAATGGTGGCTAAGTAACTTACCTAAAATTTTTGTGCTTTAAGTGTTTTATTTGATAACCTTTATTTTTCACTACACGGTAATTTCCAAGACTACACGGTAATTTCCAAGACAATAAAAGAAAGCTTTGTATGCTTATATATTGGAAGAGTTATTTTTCCCACTCCTTGAACAATTTTCCCAAATCCAAGGAGGTTTGTAGGTCGATGTTTGAACAATCTGCTTTTTAAAAAATCAAAAGTGGGGGATAGTCCAGGAGATTTGGTAAGAATATGAATGAAGGGTATGTCCTTGATATCCATGTCTTATTTCACTTTTTCCTGAAAATTAACAGTGGATTTTGACGTGTGACTGCTTGCTTTATCTTGATGCAGTTGTACTGATTGATGGTACTGTGTTAAAGAGAAGTTATTTCATATTTGAAAATTGGGTATAAAATATGTTCTTGATAATATGTAGAGTTAATCTTAACATTTTTCTCCATTTTGCCATAATAGGAAAAGCGAGTAGCAGTCATCCCTTTAAAAAACTTTGAATCACGTTTTTAAGAATTTTTTCTTCTTCTTTGATGATTTTCTTGCAGTCATTTAAATAAATAAATAAGTGATAAGATACATCTGCTGAGATATCATTTTTCCATTTTTGTCCGAATAAATATTTCTCATAAAGAATTCTGTAGCCCATTCTGCATTTAGCGATATGTTGTGGAGAAAGACAATGCACATTATGTTTTTTCGCCTTTTAAGATTCAAATCAGCATTAATGACTATTTTACATTTTACACTGAGCATTTCAATGATTTTGCAAGTGTCCATTTGAAGTGGCAAATTTTGTTTTAACATTAAAGATATTACCTTTGCAACATTCAAAACATTCCGTTTTCTCCTTGGATGTGTATTTGGAACAATTTTTTCTACTGAAGCCACAATTTTACATTTCCCCCCCTTTCTTGTTGACAGTACTACCTACTGTAAGTTTAGATACCGAAAAATCGCGTCTTTCACAGCAGTTTTTAGTAACTAGGTATGAATAATTTTCTCTGGAAAGATGACAAACATAGCATCCATCCTTTGCTTCTTTAAAAGTGCCATTTTGCATGAAAACAAAACTGTCAAGTAGTGCACGATAACTTATACATTAAAAAATATAATTGCAATAATAATAATAATAATAATAATAATAAAATTGAGGCAGACAATTTTTATTTATAGCAAAACAAAATCATCTAATAAGTGTACGAACAGCCTCTGTATAATCATCTGCTGTAAATGAAGTTAATCTTTTGCTTATGTCAGAATTGCACATATTGCATAAGTTAGTGTTTCCCAAACTTTTCTCATTCCATAATACATTTTAGGTTCTAAAATTTTTAAGGAACCCTAGAATAAATATGGGTTTTTAATTATAATAAATGATAACACTGATATATTAGATAAGCAGAATAAATATTTATTGTAATTTTTATGTCATACCTACATTATCACTTTTTAATTTAAAAAATGACACATAAAACTAAATATGTGAAAAAAATTAAATTTTCTATGACTTTGATGTGTTTTTACCAATTTTTTTTAATGTCAAGCCCAGTGTTAGAAACCTAAATTCTATCAGATTAAATATCGAATTGTTTTCATTTGGATTTTAGTCATATAATGTAAAAAACAAACCCACTTTGTACAAGTACATTGCCACAAAAAGAAATAAAACATGAATTACATGTTTTAGTGAATTAGGATATTTTTTGGACAAACTTATCAAAAATTCATTTAATTTTTCCTTTAAATTTTTGTTTTATGCTGGAATCAGTTGTCATATCAATTAGTTTTTCAAAATCAGATGCACTCCTATCTGTTTACATGACTGTCGCTGTGAAAGGATTTCAAATCCAAGAATCGTGTTCATGGTACTGTGGGAAATATTGACCAAGGGTTAATTTTAGTTGTAATTAATGGAAATGCTGTAATATTTCACTATAAACTTTTAAACTTTCTTCACTTAAAAAGTTATCTAAGGCAGGAAAGCAGTCAAATGTATTCTCTTCTGGTGAAGAAATCCAGAATATTTTAGCATATTTCCATCGTGGTAGAAAACTCCAAAATATTCCTTTTCAGGAATAGTGCTTTTAATGATAAAAATATTTCACTTATTAGTTGGTATTAGTAAAAATTTTATATTTATTTATCAGTTTCAAAAAGAAGGTAGAAAAGAAGTGTTATATATGAACTGCTCTATATTAAATGTAAGCTTTATAAATGTCAGCCAAGTGGTTTTGTATTAGGATTATATAAAAAAAAAATTGCAGCAGTGTTACAATTTTGAAATGGGCTGAGGTATATTATGAATAGGGTATTTCTGTAATGATATGTAGTATGATTTCTTCCTCATGCTTTTAAATTTCTGTATTTGAAAAATAGTTTTATGCATTTTTATTCTGTCATATTCTGCCGACCAGTTATTTGTTGGGTTTAAAATACATTTTGTGAAATCAAGGGCAATTTATTATTTTTAAATTTATTCCGAAAAAAAAATAAATAATTTGATTTTAAAATATTTCATTAACTATTTTAGTGAAGTTCAGTGCAGTTGTCTTTCAGTATAAAATATGGATACATTTAATTACAAGTTTCTTTTCGATTTTGTTTTATTAAAGGCGAACTGTTAGAAATAAAATGACTGGAGAAAAGGTTTTCCTTACTGATGAACACCTTGAACTTATCCAAAGGATACAAGCTGGCAAGTATCCAACTGCAGAAGATCAATATCAGGTACAGAACTTATATTGGAATTATGTTCCAAAAAACAAAATGTATAACATGGCAAAGTTGTACTGGAATTCTTTCAGTATTTTTTTATAAATAATTTTAAGTATTTAAATAGTTCTAATATAATTTTTATATTGGATTTACTTAGCACATTTTATTTTGAATTTGCATTCTAATTAACTTGTGTTATCAGCATAGTATCTAAAAACATTTTATAGCTCGCAAAGCAGCTTTTAATGGATTATTCTCCAATCTGGAATTTTTGTGCTCCTCCATTTTTAAAAATCTGTTTTGTCGATTGCATGATATAGAAAAAGAAAGCTAGTGTGCATAAAACAGAATCATTTTTTGTTATTTTTATAACTCTTTGCGAATCAATTACTTAGAAATTAGTAAAATTGATTAATCAGTTTTAAAAATGCAGGATTTTGTTCAGAAACTTTTAGACTGCAAAATTAGTGTCAGTAAATTAATTTTGCTTTTCATTTTCATTGTAGTTTCTGAAACATACTGTAATGCTTTTATATCTGTAATATTAAATTTTCAGGTTTTAGATGACCAAAAATCTGTACCACTTTGGGAGGTTGTGGAGACTTTAGTGTTTGTGCATTTCTGATTGTAATTGAAAAGTCATTAGATTTAGACCAACAAAAATTAAGTTAGGGAGCAGACAGTTTCAGAAAAGCCCGTAAAAGGAATTAATTTCTTTTTCACATTTTGTTTGTAAATAGAGAGGTATGTGTTATATGTGTACGAAGAATTATTTTAAATATATAGCAATGTTACGTAAAGAGAAAGTAAATATGAAAAACAAATACAAGTAATTTTTTCTACTTTTCAGACATCTTATTTTATAGTTAGTTGCTTTAAATTATAGGGTGTTTAGTTTAAGTCCCCAACTCGAATAATGCAATAATTATTTTCTGATCTGTTAAACAGTTATGCTATTGTAAATACATTTTTCATCATAAATAGTGAATAATATTTTTTAAAATTTCAAATTTCAGAAAAATTGTACACTATTTTGTTTACTGTCCAATTTTCTGATATTAAAATAACAAAAGGAAAAAGGATCTTCAGTAGGAATTTGTGAAAGTGTCTTTCAAATATATTATATATATCTTCCCCCCTCCCCCTCCAAAAAAATGTTGGCTGAAGAAATCTGAGTTCAGGAGAACTAAGATTTCCCGAAGTTTGTTTCTGAAGACATTATATCAAACAGTTCATGAAATGAGTTTTTTTAATAGCTATTTGAAATATATCTTGGTACTTGTGTTATTTTCATGTCTCAGATATGCTCTTAATCTGCAGTATTGTTCTGGGAAACATAATTTGAAACATTTATTTGGAAAGCATGTTCTTTATATTTTGCATATAAATTCCTTTTATGGTATAAATAGTAATGCATTTTCATCTGCTTTTCAGCCATTTGAAGATTTTTTCACCTATGAAACCATGAAACATCCTGTTACAAATATACCTCCCCATAAGAGGAGTTTTATACCATCCAAAATTGAGAAAGAAAAGGTAAACACTTCACATTGCACTTGTGTGCATTTTATGTGCTATGATTTATTTTCAAATTTTCTAACATAGGTTTGAGAAATCGTTTAAACCAGAAGCCAGAGTTGTCCTGTAATTCCTGAGGTTTAACGCAAGTGTCTTATATTGTTCTAGTTTTTATTTTTATTTATTTATTTATTTATTTATTTTTACAATTATCCTACAATGCCTAAAATGTTCCCTTTTGTCCTCTCATATTTTCTAAATCTGATGTTAAAAAAATCATTTAATTGGCTGGCACTGAGCAGTTTTGAGATCTTTAAAAATATGTTTGCCTATTTACCAAAAAAAATTGTGACACTTAGGAGAAGCAATGTGATAAATCACCAAATGTAGGCTCTCATTAAACTAAGTAAAAAACCAAAATGCCAAATTTGGTCAGGACCTGATTTCTGGATTTGTCAAATTAAATTTCAGTTAACTTTGAAGTTTTCAAATTTAGATTTTTCTAATTCCATTTTGCAGTTAACTTTGAAGTTTTCAAATTTAGATTTTTCTAATTCCATTTTGCAGATTTCCAATAATCTGAATATATTTATGGATCTTTGATTTGAATTAGGTAATTCAGGAAGAAAACGCTCATTAGTTTGGTACTGACTTCTTTAAAAAAAATATTTTTTTAATAGTAGTAAATAAGTTTTGGGCTGCTTCTACAGTTGGATCATAAATTGTGACTGTTTTATGAAATTTCTGTAACTGAGCATTTTGGTTTACTAAAGCAAATTAATCACTTTCAGAAAATCTTCTATGAAAAGCATTGCAAATTGATGATTTCTGGAGGCATTGCGATCTTTCTATGTTCAATTTCATCAATTAAGAGTGCAAAATAGTTCAAACCAGTATGTAATACAGTACAAAGTCTTTAATCCGGACGTCCATAATCTGGAATGATCTATAATTCGGACCTCAAAGCTACAAACTTTCTTCTACAAATTTCATAAATGCATGATGTGTTTACACATGCGCATAAAACCTTTATGCATGCTCATATGTTTTTATGCATGTGCGTTTAATGTATAATGGATGGTATAAGCTAGGCTAAAATTATCTAATTATCTATTTCAGTTAATGTTGCAGATTGCGTTGTTCCTTAATCATCTAATTGGATCCAGCTTTTTATTTTTTTCAGACTGTTAGAGCAATTTTATAAAAAGTAAGCTTGAACTTTCGATTATGTCAAAAAGAGTTTCCGATTCTGGAGCTGCTAAAGGATCTACAAAACAAAAGCATGTTTCGATGTACTGCTTCCGATAGTGAAGAAAGTGACAGAGAGGTTATTGAAAACAAAAAAATTTTGAATCACAAGTTAGTCGGTATTCTTGACACAGCAATTACAGGACTTGAACAGTGGAACTGAACAAGAAATTATGTCTGTTTATAGAATTAAAAAGAAAGTATTAGCACAAAAAATGAAGCAACCTAAACAACTTACATTGGAAGAAATGTTTAATAAGTAACAAATTAAGCTTTTTTTTTTTTTTTTTTTTTTTTTTTTTTTTTTTTTTTTTTTTTTGTAAATTTGATACCCTTTAGATCGTAATGGCTCTTTATTTCATAAATTACGGTTTCATATTTTTAATTTTATAATTTCTGCATGCCATCGTACCAGATTTAAATTGATAATCTATAATCCTGAAAAACCCCTAATACGGAATTGCCGAAGTCCCGATGAGTCCGGATTAAAGACTTTGTACTGTATACAAAACAATATGCAAAAAATATGAAAATTTTTTGCATTTTTTCTCTTCACTAATTTTCTTTATTTGCTTCGTATTGTTATGATTAATGTACTGTCAACTTGCATTTGTATGTTTCCAGTGGCATGAAGATGTCATAGAATAAACTTCTATATTTACATATTCTTTCACACCATTTTGATCTGCAATAGATGCTGCTTAATAAGATCACTGTTAATGTTGCTTAGATATTTTTATCGAATTGCCGAAGTTACAATTTGTATATGAAAATTTGAGAAATGTGTTGCTTATTGTAATCAACATTTAGAATGCCACCAAACAAGACAAATAGATCATAAAAACGGCCAAATTACAGAGAAATGTCTCTAAGTAAAGGATTAGGTCCACAAACAACTTAGTTTTCATTCTAGTCAACCATTTAAAATTTAGGAGGGAAAGCAGTCTTAAGTTGGCATAGATATTAAGTACATCTACCAGTTTTGAGGGACCTTTTCTTCAAGAGCAAGAATGATTCCATTTTGTTTCCCCTTTTCCTTCTGAAAATAAAAATTGCTGAAATAAATCTACATCAAACTAAGGTTACTGTTTAGTCTTAATTTAAAATTTTATGTTGGGTGTAATTTGAGGACAGCAACCATGTACAAGGGAACCCATTTAACTTTGCTTATATGTGCCAAAAAATCTCTCTGCTGTTCTTGAGTTTCTTGTTGGTTTTTGAGCTTAGGTGAATGTTCTGTCCTATGTAGTGCTAATTTTTTGTTCTATTTAGTCACATTTTTGTCATTTGTAATCTCGTTTATTCTCTTTTGATTAATATAAAAATTATGAAAACTAGTAAAGGGTATAATAATTGAAGGGACAAAGTCAGTTAAATGGGTTGCTATAATTGCTCCCAAAAATCATTCAGCGGATTGTTGTTTGTATGTTTCATGCAAAATTTTAAAGAATCATGTACACATTGTTTATAAATCAAGGCAAAATTTAAACGAAACCATGAAAGCTGAAGAATTAACTGTAATAATCAGGAAAGATGGTTTTGTAGCAATGTATGGTTGGTTTATCTAATGGATGAAAACATTGTTTACAAATGCATAAATAGTGAAGAAAAAGATGCTAATTTGTCTACTGAAGGATTATGGTTGTCAAAAGCATATCCTATTATCCACAAAGTGCCATTCTGAAAACATAATGTTGACAAAACAGGTCTGTAGTATCATACGTTGCCCCAATATATATACATATTTTTTAAAACTGAAAGTTCGAGAGGGTGTAAAATATCAGAAGATCATGTGACCATTTTATGTTGCGCCAGTTAGGTGTAGTAAAAAATACAAAAACTGTTTGTAATTTGGGGAGATAAAAATAAATCTCCAATGCTTTAAAGAAGTAAATAGTTTATGAGTAGACTATAAATGTAATTCTAGCTGTGGATGCTGTCAGTAACTTTTAATGAATGGCTTTTGAATTGGAATAACAAAGTGAAAGATGAGCACATAACAAAAGTGTCTCTCTTAAGCATATTGAAATTGTATTTTTATTAGCAAATTCCACAGCATTGCAACATTCCTCAACCATGTTATACATAGCACCATTCCTCAACCATGTTATATATAGATTGTTAGAATCGTGAAAGAATGTTATTGCCATGAGATGATGGTCCTTATATACTAATATGTTATAGATGATGAGCCCTTTAATAATATGGGCCATATATTAACCTTTTACACGCCAAACTATGATGCGAAAGTAAAATAAACGGTTTTTTTGTGAAAAATCGATTTAAAACTCAAACATAAGAATTTAAAAAAAAGAAAAAAATAATTAAAAAAATTGTTTTAATGATTTATAACACGTTCCATAAAAAGAACATTGGTGGGAAACAGTTAGTTTTTTAACATGATTTTTGTAAAACATGATTATCGACATTCTAATTCGAAGCTTCATTTTTGTCTGCACTTTTTCAGCATTAGCAAGTGAATTTCTCAACGTTATTCGGAAGTAACATAGATTAATCAGAAAAATAGGGAGCCTTCACCTTTAAAACCGCAAAGCTACTTCACCAAAATTTCTTTGGAGAAGATATGAAGCTTCTGCAGAAAAAAGCTTTCGTAATAAATTAAAACAAAAATTACATAGATGATAAGAAAGAATTTATAAACGAATTCTATATTAATTGTTAGCAGTTTATACTGAAACAAGGAAAAGAGTTGTAGAAACAAGTAACAAATAATCTCCATACAAAAATTCACACTGCAGGAATGGAAGATGCCGAACTGTTGAAAGTTTTTTTCCAATTCTTCATAAAAAGGAGAAACTTTTTTTTGTTTTATCTCCTAATGCCAACTTCGTATTATTTATAATATGAAAATATTTTTTCAGTTTTCAAAATCTATTTCTTGGCATTGCAGAAGAAACTACTGGGACAGATAAATCTTCTTGAGTGCTCCAGTATAAATCTTCACTGGGTACTCCATGATACCCACTAAACAAGAGTAATCCAAAAAACTGTCCAATATCGTTTTCATCTACTGCTAAAACTTCTCCTTTTTGCATTGCGTAAAGACCTGTCATATTTGCTAAATGCAGCAAATATTCTCTAGTTAGGAATTAGTGAAAACTTTCAACTGGAGATAAAGTAACTAGTTCAGGAAACACTTCGCAAGTATTTTCAATGCTGCCAGTTTTTCGAATTTTGTTAAAATTTAAAATTTTCCCCATGGATGTTCAATGTTTTTCTTTTTCACATTTAGTTTTGGCTTCAAATTCTTCCTTCCCTTTGAAGATGAAGGTTTTTGAGGATCAAATGAAATTTCTTGAGATATTTCATCATCATCTATTTTATTAGAAATTTCAATTTTTCCACATACATCCGCTAGCAGAACAGGCTCAAAAATATCTTCATTTACATCTTCCTCATCTGTCAAACATTCAGTTTCTTTTGGAGGCAGTTGACAAATGTCAATACACTCTTCATCATCTGATAATGTATAAAAATATTCCAATGCATCTTCAATAGACTGAAATGGTTTTGAATGACCCATTTTATCAGCGTAGCGTATCTTCACAAGCTGGGGGAAAAAAAAAAAAAAAAGAGCAAACAATGGGAAAATAATAAAATCCACACTCCAAAATATACGCCTTTTTCACTGAGTCATAAACAACCTCTAGCGTCTAGCCTATCAAGAAACACTACGTGCTTTTCTCTAGCAGCTGTGAGTAACTCACTTCAAAACCCTTATGGGAATGTGTGAAAGGAGAGGAGGGGAATATACAGGAGTCGAAAACAAGTCATAAACATCTGTTTTCCACACTTACTGGAACTTTTCACATTTGGAAAATAATTCTCCATGCCTCTATTCACGGCAAAACAAGTCATTAACAGTCATAAACATCTGTTTTTCACACTTACTGGAACTTTTTACATTTGGAAAATAATTCTCCATGCCTCTATTCACGGCAAAACAAGCCATTAACAGTCATAAACATCTGTTTTCCACACTTACTGGAACTTTTCACATTTGGAAAATAATTTTCCATGCCTCTATTCACGGCAATCAAAGTAATTTCATCATGTTAAAAAATATACCTTTACACGCCAATGCTTCTTTTTTGGAACACCCACATTTCTTACCTCGAAGTAAAAAATAATAATCATCTTTCTATGATAACTTACTGTCTAATGCATAAAATGATCCTTTTTAAATATCTTCATTGAGTTTTAAAAGCATTTGTTGAATTTTTAATTTTATATGAATTTCTGAATTTTGCTCTTAGAAAAGAAGGAAAAAAGGTGAAATAATGAATTTTTTTATCAAGATAATTTTTCTTTTAGAAGAATTATATTGCTACTGAAACATCAATCCATATTTACTCTCCATGTAATAATTTATACAAAGCAATATTAATAAAATTGTGTTTTTTATAAAATTTTAAATTCGATGTTCCGTTTGTAGAACATTGGCGTGTAAAAGGTTAATGTTTATTATTACATTTGCTCGCATTATTGTCCCTCTTTGCATATTTTCAGCCTAGTTTTTTCAGCATGTTATATAGAAACTCATGATTTGTGGTAATAATGTAAAATATACGCATAAATAGGAAAGTATTTTGTGTAAGTAAAAAGAATATTACTGAAACTGTTAAGTTCTTTGAAACACATAATATACTAATTTTAGTGCATCTTTACATATGCTTTTTAATGTGTTGTGTTTATCATTTAAGGCAACTATTCAGACATAGTGTACAATATATATTTTTCCCTCCCTGTATCTGAGTGATAGAATTAGTAAGTAAAGGGGGGAAACATAAATATGCAAATAAATATGGTATGTGTGTGTATATATAGATTTAAGTTTTGAAAATTAATGTCATATTATTGCACTGAAGTATTTCTTATTAATTCCTTTTCTCTCTTGTAGGTATCTAAACTAGTATATGCCATCAAGATGGGTTGGATAAAGCCAAGAGTTCCAAAAGAGGAAAAAGATCCATTTTACATGTTATGGGATAAAGATAGTGTAAGATACATTTGTTGATGTAAAAGGAATAATTGTAAATGTAAAAGGAATTTAATTATTGCTTGGTAATTTATAATATCTAATGAATAATTGTTTGGTAATGACTTAGATTATGTTTGGTAATGACAAAGATAACTTTAACAAAAATAAATAAAATTTGATTTAAAAGCATTTCCTGACTAAGTATTTATCCAGTGATAAAAAATTATATTGCTTATCTAGAACTAATTGTCAGGATAAAATAAAGCTGGCTGATTTTAAAAACGTTTTTAATTATGCAATATAACTTACATGTTTAAATTTTATGAAGAGTTAAATTTATAGTTCAAAATGCAAATTTGATAAAATAAATGGCAGTAACCTCTCAGTTATGTACTGGGGCAAGGGCCAACCAAAAACAGCATGTAAAAATAAAAAATAAAATAATTTAAAAAAAAAAAAAAAATCTGAAATGTTTCAGATTTTAAATTACGTCCAAAGGGGCGTTTTTTAACATTTTGTAGTGTTACCTTTCTTTATTAAATATCATGTTCCTTCGCACTTAAACCATAAGATCCAGTGCAACAGCAATATCGCAAAATAATTTTAAAACGAGCATATCTTTAGAATTTCCGATATACAGAGACTCACGCGCTGGAGATAAAAATTTTTTTTGCACACAACGTTGCCATTGCTCGCTTTTGAAATCCTTGAGTTTGTTAATCAAAAATTCGTCAAAGTTTTAAAAAATAGGAAAATCGATAATAAAACAAATTTCAAATTTGGGTTTCCACATGCTCATATTCGTTGGAGGATTACGTTATTCAAAATTCGATGACTCTATGTACCGTTGTTTTATCACAATGCGAGAAATATACAATACATTTATGCAGATTTTTCATTATTTAATTTCTTCAAATATAATGCAGGACTCTAACATTTTGTGGCAACAGTTTGAAAAGTGAACCGACATTTATGAGTCCGACGCAAAATCGCAAAACGAAAACAATAGTCCTTCAGGGACGAAGCCCCTTTGGACTAAAAAAAAAGAGATTTAAGTGAAAACCAGTTAATTGAACTGTAATAAAATTTGTTGATTCAATGAATTTTAGCTGTGATTATATTCTTTAAGTGAGATAGATTATAAAAAACTTAAATAATGCAGAAATCTCAATTTTAGTAGCATACTGTATTTACATTTAGCTTTTTAAAGAAGTGTCAAGCTAAAAATTGTTCATCATTTAGCTTCCCTTTCAAATTCATGTAAACAAAAGTTATGATACAAAAAGTGAGTGATATTAGATTCATCAGTAAGTTGAATATAGTGATAGAGAATTTCCAGAGTTCCTGCCGCTTTTGTGAAACTTGATTTTAATCTTTCTAGCCTGTTTTTTCAATAGCATTATCATCAAGAATTTCAATGGCTATTTCCAGGACAGCTCTTGTACCTGCTCAATTATGGCTGCAGATTCTTTGAAACTAATTGGTCTGTCTGAAATTCTCTTTTAGTCTCATCATGAACTACTTGTGCATTATTGGCAGTTGATTCTTCGGTTTCATTTTTTGATGAAAAAGACCTTTCTAAATTTCCGTGTTAAACAGATCATACGAATAGCATCATATTTGAAGTCTTGTGAATACATACCTTGTTTCATCTATTGAGGATTAAGATCAAAATCAAAGTTTTTCACACAACAAATAATCTTCAAATCCAGTGGCTAAAACTTTCCCGTGTAATTAGATGATAAAACAATACTTTTGAAATGTTGAATATCAGGAAGTTAGAAGAAAGAGTAGAAGATTGTCCATTAATAAAGTTTCTTCTTATTCTAAACACTTTCTGTTTTAGAATTCCCCCCCCCCCCCTCCCCCCCCAAAAAAAACACTATTGCTACATTGAATCTTTTTGGAAAATCATAGTGAGAAGAATGCTATAGAAAAATCTCAGGTAAATTTTTCATCATAGATAACTGAAGGATACATTTGACATTATATTATTATGTACACAAATGAAATGTAATAGTATAAACAAACATTGCATTAAGGGAATGCACACTCATAGAATTTTCTTTCTTTTATTATATATATATATATTAAAAAGTATGTTTTTGTTTAAAGCTTTTAATTGTTGCTTAGTTTAGCTCATGTGGATGCCTTAGTATTAAAAAATTGAGGGAGATATATAAATATTTTTAATACTTCAAATTATTTATTTCATGTAGAATTGAAATAAAATGTAAAGTGGATCTGAACTTTCCTTTCATGCATTTTTAATGCATTCCAAATTACTACAATAGTTTTAAACTTTAAATTTTCTATGCATATGAATATTTAAAATTGCAGTCTTTTTGAAGCCTTATTTAAAAATTATTGCTTGTAAAATGAATAACATAAATAATTTTGAAATGCTTACTACATTACTTTTTTATTAACTAATTATTTTGCATGTAATTTTCTGTTATATATTAACTGAAAAAAAATATTGTTTTATTTTGAATTAGGTGAATGAATCTAAGCGCATGCAGCACTACATACCCGCTCCAAAACGAAAGTTACCTGGCCATGAAGAGTCTTATAATCCACCACCAGAATATTTGTTTACTAAAGAAGAGGTGATTTCTTTAAGCACATATTTTGTAAATCTGTCATTTTTAAAAAAAAATATTTCATTTTATGATTTATTTCTTAATTTGTCATAATTTTTTATAATTTGAAGAAGAATTAAATTAAATTTCTTATGCATTAATCTTTACAATAATTTTTTCTAGTTTACGAACTAAATTGAGGATTATAAACAATTTCTTAAAGAAAAATTTAACTTATACAATTTTTAACACAAAAGCTGTATTTCAGGTAAAATAACTCATGTCTGCTGCAGTCTAATCTGTAAGATTCTTGTATTCTAAAATTCAAATAATAATAATAATAAAAAAGGCCAATCCAGAAGTTTTCCAGCTTTAATAATTGGTACTCATAGTCATTCTTTGAGAAGGAAACACAATATTCTAGATTTATAAAAAATTCTTGCTGATTGTTGTAGAATAAAAATCTGAAATTATATTTTCATTAGGTGAAAGTAATGAATTTTTATGAAATCATGCAGAGAATCTGATTTTATTGACCTCTCCAATCAGAAAGTAAAATATTTTTTTTAATATGCAGTAGCATAGCAGAATTTATTTAGATTAATAAAAAATATTTTTTAAATGCCAAAGTAAGATTTTTTATGATTTTAGAATTAATTGAAATGTTAATCATTACTAGAAACCACTCAAATGCAGTACAATGTGCAAGATCCAGAATTGTCAGGACTTCAGCAATTCTGAATTTTAGATCATCAATTTAAATCTAGTGAAATGACCTGGACATTATATTGCAACTGCATTGACTGTCATGTTTTCACTCCTGTGATTTATTTTGATGGAGCAAAAACATAAAATCTATATTCTAAACATCATCTTCAGAAGAAACTTATTTTATTTATTTTAGGAAGTGGAATTGCAAGAGTGATGTTCTTAGCATCAGCCAGCTTTAGAAGCAAGAACTTCTGTAGTTACTTTTTTTTTTAACCTAATTCAACTGAATAATTTTTTTTTATGAAAGAGACATAAACTTTCACCAAAATATTCAGAGATATATGTTTAAGTAGTATAACCATATAAATGAATGCTTGTGATTAAATGCTGTGAAGTGGGAAAATGATAAATAAATGATAGTATAATTATGCTTTTATTTAATAATTCTGGCTTTGGTTACATTTTTCATTCATTTCTTAGTACGTGACATTACGTGTATATTATTTAAGCTGAAAGAAATTTAGATGTAACAAAAGGTGGGATTTATCTGCAATCCTTTAATGCCTGTGTCAGAATTATCTGAATGCTGTACAGTTAAACAGACAAAAATTTGAATTATATTTGTATGAAATATAGTAAAATGAGCAAAACAATATGAACAAAACAACCATTTATAACAATTTAAAGTAGTACATTCATTCTAATAAATAAGAATCATCTTAGATGCATAAAAATTAACTGTTTTTGTGATATATTAAAAATTAAATAAAATATCAAATTTTGCGAGTTAATGTACATAATTCAGATATTATGCATTTTAAAATAGTTCAATTTCATGTTATCTAATGTTGCACAGGCAGTATCTTTGACAGGTAATAAATTTAAGGCAATGAATGAAGTTTCACTTTTGATTTCAGACTATGAGTTATCTGTGGACATTACTTGGAGTTGTATAAAAAAATAATTAGACTTTTTGAATGACATTTTATTTTGTGTCGCAAAATTTTACAGAAATCAACCCTCCCTTATAAAGATGCATGATTAATAACATTTGCATCGCATAGCTAAATTTTCTAAGCTTGATTCATACATCCAAAAGATATTCTTTTGTGAGTTTTTCTAGCAAAAGCTATTCTTTTACTCATTTCTTACAAAAGAAAAGAAAAAAAAAAATTTTTTTTGGCTGAAAATCAGGTGCAACTTTTAGATAACTTCTAAAGGAAGGGATAAATATGTCTGTAAGCTGTTTATTTTATGCAATTGACATATTAAATATGTTTTAATTTAATTTTATGTATTTAAAAATGAACTTTTCTTTAGGAAGAAAAGTGGAAAGAAACAGATCCGGAAGACAGGAAGTTAGATTTCATTCCTCAAAGATATTCTTCACTAAGACAAGTCCCAGCATATTCACGATACATAAATGAATGGTTTGAAAGATGCTTAGATTTGTATCTTTGTCCACGGCAAAGGAAGATGAGAGTAAGGATCATTTGAATTTATGTCAACAGGTTTCCTCTTCTGTAAAAATTTAATTGACTTGATATTGAAGTCACATGAAACATAATATTTATATATGATGCATAAAACAGTTGTTGATTGTATTTTCCTGTTTAAGCTTTAATAGTGCATCATTGATTTATATTTTAGGTCAATGTTGATCCAAATGATCTCATACCTCAGCTTCCGAAACCCAAAGACTTACAGCCATTCCCTTCTGTTTTAGCAATTGTAAGTTCTGCTGACTTTTTTTTTTTTTTTTAAGTTAACATTTAAAGTATTTTGTAGGTATACATTTTAATTTCTTTCATTAATTGTCTAATGTTATTAGGTTTTCAAAGGGCATTCAGGTTTAGTTCGCTGCGTAACAGTAGAATCTACTGGTCAATTTATAGCTTCTGGTAAGTGGGTTTTTAAAAATTTTTTAACAGTAATATGTTGGAAAACTGTCTGTATCTTTTTTTCCTCTCCAAATAATTTTTTACAGCTTAATTTTGATATCTAAACCAAAATTTGATATTTTATTTAAAGTATGTTGTATTATAAGCTGACATAATTTCATAGAGAAAATTTGGCTGTTTATTATTTAATTTTAATTTTTTATTTTTAAAGACTAGCAGTCGTAATGCTGGATTTATTCTATGTTAATTTCAAATGTAAGACTATTCTATTAATTGTAATGAATTTGAGTTTATTGTCAGTTTCACTTAATAATTAATAGGAATTCTTAGCATTTAAATTTACTGTACCTGTATTTATCGATCTTTAGTCCTATATTTAAAAGGGTTACAGAACCAAACCCAAAGTTTTGGGTATAGATGTGGAATGAACAGTCAGAAATTACCAAAAATTTCAGGAAATTTAAGTCTTTGATTGCATATTAAGTCTTTATTATTATGTTACAGCAAGGTAGTAGGAAGAGAACTTCACTCTGTGCATGGCATTTATTGATCTGGTGGTGTGGTTTTTTAATAGTTTAGTACAGTACCATTCAGTACAAGATTCTCACTCACCTGAAAAATTCTGAAAAGTCAGGGAAATAAAAAAATGGTCAGGCATAATAAATTGTTTCATGTTGTTTTTGTAAAACTTTTCCCTAAAAATCAGGAAAGTTAAAAGTGCAGATCAACCCTCTGAAAGAATTAAAATGTTTTAAACAGTGCCATGTTAAGTACTTTTTTTTTTTTAAATATCCAGAAAAATAATGCACAAAATGTTTTTAGTTTTGAAATCTTTTAAACAGGTGTGGATGCTGCAAAACATCATTCCAACCATGAGTCCCATTTAATAGGGAAATTTATTCAAAAGAGGGAACAACAAATTGATATGTGGTACATTTTGCATTGCTTAAGAGAAAGTAATAGTATAAATTAGTCAGATTATACTTAAGCAATTTAATGTTCATTATTTCGACTCTACAATGAGTCAAATAAAAATTGAAAAGTGACAACCTGAATAAATAGATGACTCTGGTTAGGTTTATTGGCATTATAGCAATGCACATAAGAACTGTCTGCTCTTAGGTGGAGAATTTTTTAATTGAAACTGGCTTGTATTCACTTACACATGAGGAAAACCACGAAAATGTCTTCGCATGGGGTTTGAAACCATGCCATAATGCCAGTATTAGCGATCTTGCCGCTCGGGCCACTGGGGACAGGTGATTGTGGAAAATGATTGATTACCCAACTGTTGCTATGTAGCATGGATAATGAAACAATTTATATATTAGAATTAAATATTGTTGTGTTTCTAGTTTGAAAGTTAACAATCTTGATATTTTTAAAAAAGGTATTTATGGCTTTTTGTAGCCAATTTGGCACCCTTTTCCAATCCATCCAACTGAGGCAATTGCCTCACCTTTGTTCCTCAGGTTTTAACTATTATACAACAAATAGAAATTGCTTTTCTAATAGAAAGTAATCTCTGTTTCATTACAAAAATTATTTTACCCAACTATTTGATGTAATTGTATTAATTTACATCTGTGTACTCTTCCTATACTAAGCTATTCTTCATTTTTCACTTTAAAAATGTAACCGTTCTGTTATACTTCTCTTTAGAAGTGTAATTATCATTTAAAAATAAATAGCATAATTTAGAAATATGTGGTTGTTATAAGCAATTATGTTACTTAAACACTTTTTTCATTTCAGTGTAATTCTAAACTCCATAAATACATATACAGTCAAAAGTCGTTAATTCGGACACCCATAATTCGGATTGATCTATAATCCGGACATCAAAACTAAAAACTTTCTGCGCATGCGCCACGTTGACAATGCGCAGAGGCGTTCACGCGTGCGCGTAAGACCTTTTACGACTGCGCAGAGTGTGGCGCAAGTGCAGAATACGTTTTTCGCGTGCGCATTTTATGTATAATGGACGTATAAGCGTTATCTAATTATCTATTTCAGTTAATGTTGATGATTGCGTTGTTCCTTAATTTTCGAATTGCATCCGGCTTATATTTTTTTTGCAGACTGTAAGAGCAATTTTATAAAAGTAAGCTTAAACTTTCGATATATCAATAGAATTTCCGATATATAATTTGTTAATAAGTAAAGGATCTAAAGCAAAAGTATGTTTGAAATCCGAAATCTGTTTATCAATTTCACGCTGCTCGCGGGCGGCCGGCACGTAATGAATTGGAAGTTGATTGTGTCAGCACTATGCTTATCTTCAGCGCAGATGTTTTTATTTTATTTGGCTTATAATTCCTACCAAATGTAGTATTTCATCTCGATATGCTCCGTCTATGATATGATTTAAAACAAGTTCCTCGTCATTATAATTCGCTTCCGATAGCGAAAAAAGTGACAGAGAGGTTATTGAAAACGAAAAAATTTCGATTGACAAATTAGTCGGTGTTCTTGACACAGCAATTATAGACTTGAACGGCGGAACTTTGTAACTGAACAAGAAATTATGTCTGTTTAATAGAATTAAAGAGAAAGTTACATCACATGAAACGAAAGCAAAAAAACAACTTACATTGAAAGAAATGTTTAATAAAGTAAACAAATAAATATTAAGCTTTTTCTTTTTGCAAATTTTGATACCCTTTAGATCATAATTGTTCTTTATTTCATAAATTACGGTTTCATATTTTTAATTTTAGAATTTCTGCATGTCATCTTACGAGATTTAAACTGATGATCTATAATCCGGAAAAATCGATAATCCGGAATCGCCGAAGTCCCGACGAGTCCGGATTAATGACTTTTGACTGTAATAACTTAATATTAGTTTCCCCTTTACTAGTGAACATTTGAATACTTAGTTAAAATAATAATGTAAAATATAAACAAAAATAATATAGAATTATTGTAATATATTGATGAATTGTGAAAGTAAATAACATAAAGTATATCCATTAATTTCAGGCTGTTGCTCTGTAGCATCCATAGAAAACTAACACAGGAAAATGAATAAATCCTTATACAGAAATGAAAATACTTATATTGTACATTGTACTAACGAATAAATACAGCAGAGTTTGCTATATTCTGTTTTTTTTTTGGCTTATTTTATACAAAGTATTAAAAATTCAAGCTATCTGGAAGTATTTATGATTCATATATACCAACTTTCATGAATTTTTCATAATTATTACAAAAGCTGCTCTAACATAATAATCTTGCATGCAAAAATAATTTTTTAAATGACCTTTGCAATAGTATCACCAATCTGAATTTTATTTGAGTTATGATTTGAATTTAACCTCTTAATTTTACCATATGAATTCATTTATGTATTGCTATTTATTTTTTTTTTGGAGACTACAGTATTCTGACAATTTTAATGCCAGTTTAGTTCCAGAATTTTTATTTAGTTATGAGAAGATTTCATATTTTTTTAAAAAGCAAATACAGTACTTAAAATTAGAATAATATAAAAGTGTATTTAAAAATATATGAAATACTTTGGGTACGACTTACTTCAAGATACAAATTGGTTAGGACCTTCATAGGAAAGAAATTGTAAACACCATCTTTAACCCTTTAACGGTTTGACCCGGATTATCTCGTTCTTTTATGCAGGTCTATTAACGGTTCGTTACGGATTATTGTAAGTTTAAATGTACCCTCGAAAACGGATCGTTCCGTGTTTTTGTATTAGCGAAAAAATTCGCCAAAAACGACTAGCCCGTATTTTTGTACGTCTTCTAACCCCCATTGCCTAAAGGGACAAGGGTCCACGCACCCCTGACGACAATGGGTAATGGTTGTCATTATTGTGGGGGTGAAGTCTTCTTGATGTTTTGAGATAAAGGCCTTACACTGACTCTAAGAAAACAAATTTATTGCCAGTTACAAAATGAATGTATATATAAAAGGAATTAAGAATTTTCGTTTTAGAACAATTATTGAATAAAATAAACAAGTTTTTACAAAATAAACTTTTATTTATGACTCATAGAATTATTAATGAATTGAAATGAGAAAAATAATGTATTATATAATTTACTGGGAACACGTGATTAAATAATTCTCTTTAAAAAAATTTCGACAAATTTATATCACGAATAACAAACGTGCGGTTTCTCTTGATAAATTTATAAATCTTATACTTTTGACAATGCGATTCGATATTTGATCTCGTTATTTAAGAATCTATTATTCTTCTTATAAAACTGTACAGGAATTTTTCAAAGGGGCTCTTATTCCCATTAATCTGTACGACAAATTATTTTTCTCCTTTTGGTACAGTTTTTTACTTCCAAAATTCCTCTTACCTCATAAAAGTATAAAGTTTTAAAAATTCGCCCAAAATCAGAAATTATATTAATTTTATGCAAATTTTATTTCAAAAACTATTTTACGCTCTGTAAAGTGATGCAAACTTAAAATCTGTGAGATTTTTAGTTTATTCTTTAAATGGAAATATGCGCAAAAATTTTTTTCAACATTAAATTTTAAGACCTCTAAATCGAATTTTATAAAACTCGGTTTACCACGCGTATTTCCATCTGTAAACGGTGTGAGTACAAAATTTGAACTCGGTAGGTTATCGAGAAATAGTCTAAATATCGATGACGAGCTTCTGATTATAGCGACAAACACCGTGATTGAAATGCATACAATTTTTTAAACAAACTTGCCGACTCTTAAATATTATATTTTTAAACATTTTGGAAAGTTTCGGTAAATGTTGATATCAGATAACCGTCATTTTTATAACATTCTTGGTATTATAAAGCATGTATGTGACATTCATACGCGATTCCCGACAGTTATGTTCATTTATCAAAGTGGCTGCTTTTGCGACAAGCACAATTATATAATGTGATGTTCTACATCCTCCACTGTCTATGATACTCATTATCGATATGTAATTATGTTCTATATCTATACAGAAATATTGGTAAGACCGAGAGAGGTCAACAAAATTTTCGCAA